TAATTTTTTTTGAAAAAAAGTGGACATCGACCTTTTTCAGGACACAGAAAACAATTGTAGAAAGTTTGGTGAGGATAGCTATAGTAGTGACTGAGTTTATTGCGAACAAACAAACAGACAAACAGGCATTCCTCTTTATACGTATATATAGACTAGCGGAATCAACCCATGCCAGTTAGTTAGATTTAGAGTAATGGTATCTAACAACAGAGAGAACGATACCGCTGCAATCCTTCTCCAATAACAATGGAAAATAAAATAAAAATAAAAATATAAAATAAAACAAAAAAAAAAGCACATTTGTCCAAGATATAAGAGTAAAATCTGAATGATTTCAGATTCTAAATTACGTCCAAAGGGGTATTTTTTTAACGTTTTGTGCGTTACCTTTATTTATTAAATATCATGTTCTTTGCATTTAAACCATAAAACTCAGTTTAACAGCAATGTCACAAAATAATCTTAAAATGAGCATATCTTTAGAATTTTCGACACACAGTTCCGCGAGCTGCAGATAAAAAGTTTCCCCCCGTAAATTGTTGCCATTGTTGGCTTTTAAATCGTTCAGTTTGTTACTCAAAAATTCGTTTAAGTTTTATAAAATATGAAATCGATAATAAAACAAATTCAAAATTTCAAATTTGATCTTCCACATGCCCATATTCGTAGGAGGATTACGTCATTCAAAATTCTATGGCTCTGTGTACTGTTACTTTATCATAATGAGAGAAATACACTGGTGTGCAAAAATTAAGGACGAGACGGTTTTTTCAATATAACTTTGTACAAAAGCTTTCCAAATCAACACATTTAATACCGTAAGATCCCCAATGCGTAAGGACATGTGTAATGTAAGCAACACTTACTAAAAGAGAAATCAGAGGGATAAAAAGAAGCTTTATTGAAAAAGTAGCATGGAGCGCAATGCGACTGAAGGCCCAAACATCCCTGTGATGGGTGTCCAGCAAGAAAATCCGGTCTTTAATAGGGGATATGATCTCCCCTGACTGCTAGGCAGGTTTCACAGCGTCTGCCCATGCTGAAAATGAGGGTGTCAATGAGTTGTTGAGGCATTGCTGCCCATTCGTCTTGCAGCGCCAATCGAAGCTCCGGAATCGTTACTGGTGGTAAGGTACGAGCTGCCAAGCGTCTGCCTAGAAAATCCCATACATGCTCGATGGGATTGAGATCCGGAGATCGTGCCGGCCAATCCATACGTTCAATATCCTCACTCTCTAAGAGCTGTTCGGCAGCTACTGTGCGATGACATGGTGCATTGTCGTCCATGAAAAGGAACTGCGGACCCATAGCTCCTCTAAAAAGACGCACATATGGAAGAAGAATCTCGTTACAATAACGGGTCCCGTTGACTGAACCTGCGTCGAAGATGTGAAGGTCTGTACGACTACCAAGCATGATGCCTCCCCAAACGAGAACACCGCCACCTCCATACCTGTGCCTTTCAATGATGTTCGAGGGATGATTGCGGCTTCCCCGCTCTCTCCAGATGAGTATGCGATGAGAATCGCTACTCAGACTGAATCTACTCTCATCTGTAAAGAGTACTCGTCCCCATTCATTGTCTCTCCAATTCCGGTGTTCCCGGCACCACAGAGAACGTCTTCTCCGATGATCAGGCGTTAGAGGTACACACCGTACAGGGCGTCGTGCAAACAGACCACCACCGTGCAGTCTTCTGGCCAACGGTAAAACACGATATCGGTCGTCCAGTCGCCTGTGTCGTGTGTCTAGCGATTTTTGCCGCTGTCTGCCGCCTGTTTCTTCTGGCCTGTAAGGCAATATACCGGTCATCTGCGGGTGTAGATTTAGAGTAATGGTATCTAACAACAGAGAGAACGATACCGCTGCAATCCTTCTCCAATAACAATGGAAAATAAAATAAAAATAAAAATATAAAATAAAACAAAAAAAAAAGCACATTTGTCCAAGATATAAGAGTAAAATCTGAATGATTTCAGATTCTAAATTACGTCCAAAGGGGTATTTTTTTAACGTTTTGTGCGTTACCTTTATTTATTAAATATCATGTTCTTTGCATTTAAACCATAAAACTCAGTTTAACAGCAATGTCACAAAATAATCTTAAAATGAGCATATCTTTAGAATTTTCGACACATAGTTCCGCGAGCTGCAGATAAAAAGTTTCCCCCCGTAAATTGTTGCCATTGTTGGCTTTTAAATCGTTCAGTTTGTTACTCAAAAATTCGTTTAAGTTTTGTAAAATATGAAATCGATAATAAAACAAATTCAAAATTTCAAATTTGATCTTCCACATGCCCATATTCGTAGGAGGATTACGTCATTCAAAATTCTATGGCTCTGTGTACTGTTACTTTATCATAATGAGAGAAATACACTGGTGTGCAAAAATTAAGGACGAGACGGTTTTTTCAATATAACATTGTACAAAAGCTTTCCAAATCAACACATTTAATACCGTAAGATCCCCAATGCGTAAGGACATGAGTAATGTAAGCAACACTTACTAAAAGAGAAATCAGAGGGATAAAAAGAAGCTTTATTGAAAAAGTAGCATGGAGCGCAATGCGACGGAAGGCCCAAACATCCCTGTGATAGGTGTCCAGCAAAAAAATCCGGTCTTTAATAGGGGATATGATCTCCCCTGACTGCTAGGCAGGTTTCACAGCGTCTGCCCATGCTGAAAATGAGGGTGTCAATGAGTTGTTGAGGCATTGCTGCCCATTCGTCTTGCAGCGCCAATCGAAGCTCCGGAATCGTTACTGGTGGTAAGGTACGAGCTGCCAAGCGTCTGCCTAGAAAATCCCATACATGCTCGATGGGATTGAGATCCGGAGATCGTGCCGGCCAATCCATACGTTCAATATCCTCACTCTCTAAGAGCTGTTCGGCAGCTACTGTGCGATGACATGGTGCATTGTCGTCCATGAAAAGGAACTGCGGGAACGAGAAACACTCACTCGTGGACGACCACTACTAAACCCCCGGATAGCTGTTCCTGTAGTTTGAAATTGTCTCCAAATTCGTGAAACGATGCTGTGAACAATTCCGAACTCTGCAGCCACACTTGTCACACTGCGGTCTTCCTCCAACTTCCGAATGATTCGATCTCGGGTAAAAGCATCCAGATGTCGTCTAACAGATTGATTATTCGCCATTTCTCGCTGAGGCAGCAACTCGGTGTGATTTTAACTGCTATACGGCGTGCAATCTCTTTGCCAGAAATACTGATCTTACAACGACAGCATGCTTTATACTACTCAGACACTCCCCCATTACGTCTACCTGCATATCTGCGCATGTGCTACCGTACATCACCTTACTTAATCCCCTGATTGGTCTTTCTGTCCGCTCTGCCTCTTCGTTCAGCTGATATGCTAATTTTTCGACTTCGTCCTTAATTTTTGCACACCAGTGTATACATACATTTATGCAGATTTTTTATTATTTAATTTCTTCAAATATAATGCAGGACTCTAACATTTGGTGACAACAGTTTGAAAAGTGATTCGCCGTTTATAGTGATTCAACGCAAAATAGCAAAACGAAAACGATAGTCCTTCAAGGACTTTGGACTTAAAAAAACCGATTCATAGTCATACGTTATTCAGTCTGTTACGATATAGAACCTACATAAAAATTTTTGATAGAAAAATAAACTAATTCTCCTCACTATATCAGCAAAAACGTAAATTTTTAATGATTTTCGTTTTTTTTTTAAACAAATGGTAGTAAAAGTTCAACCTTCATCCAATATGTCACCTGTATTCAATTTAATCGATTAAATGTGACAAATTTGATCATAATTGATCAGAAATCAATAACGCGAAAAAACAAACACACAAACAACCATTCTTCTTTATGTATATAAAGATTTTGTAAAACTTATAACAAAGTCTACGATTTGAAAGCGAGCAGTAACAAGACTTTTCGAAATAAAGCATTTTTATCTCTAACGCACAAGACTGTTGCCACTCGGAAAAATGAGTGCAAAAGTTAGTTTTTTTCAGAGTTTTTAATTAATATCTCGGTTGACTAAAATCGTACGAAGATGAGAACCGTCGAAATGGCTTCCCAAAAATTTTTGGAATCAGGAATAATGCATTTAATGTTTGGCAATGCTATTTTTATTTCGTTGTAAAACTTAGGAATTTTTTATTAACAAACTCTACGATTTGTAAGCAAGCAGTGGCAAGACTTCTCGAAATAAAATAGATTTTTATCTCCACTCGTTTTTATCTTCACAGCGTTTTTATTTCGTTGTAAAACTTAGGAATTTTTTATTAACAAACTCTACGATTTGTAAGCAAGCAGTGGCAAGACTTCTCGAAATAAAACAGATTTTTATCTCCACTCGTTTTTATCTTCACAGCGTGCCACTCGGAAAACTGAGGGTGAAAATTAGCGTTTTAAGCGTGTTTAATTAATATCTCTGAGCTTAGCTGCTTTTGTTTTGGGGAAAAAAGTGGACGTCGACCCTTTCCAGGACCCAGAAAAGAATTGTAGAAAGTTTGGTGACGATAGCTATAGTCGTGACTGAGTTATTATTGAACAAACAAACACACAGACTTTCTTCTTTATATATATATATATAGATTAACATATTTCTGAAGCGATTAGGATAACTAGACGACGATACACGATAAGAAACTAACTGCCTAACAGTAAAGAAAAAAAGTTATATGTACACAATACCTTTATACACGAAATAAAATATTTAGACGAATGTCTTCATATGGACAAATTAAATCACTACCTTCTTTGAAAGAAACTTTCCTTTTATCAGTTTTATATCTATACGTACAAGAGAGAAAATGGAGAACAAAGGGAAATAAACAATATTTGACACATAGAGTAGAGTAGGCGTGATCCATGAAATAAAACATTATTTTTGATCTTGAAAAGGTAGAAAGGTGAATCTGACAGGAATAAATAGGAGTATAGTAAAAGCCGAAGGCTTTCTGAATAAACTTTTCAGAAGGATATTTTTGTTTACTTACCCGTTCGTAGTGGAACCGTGTATTACATCATTCTTGTCAATGTCATCCGGAATAAGAGTGCGATCATAGCTGAAAAGATCTTTGAAAGATCCGAGGAAGAAACTGCTAAGACCTTTCTCTTTCACCGGCTTGAAATCCTCACCCTAGGAGGAAAAGAATCAATAAATTATTTTCAGACTAAATCAATGGGTAGAATCCACACTCCTCTTTACTTCCGGATTAGTGTACTACTATTTACTTTGATACTTTTCTCTATATATTATTCTTCATTTATTTATCGCTGATATGTCTGAATTAGTATTAGATACTGGGAAGAAAAGGTTTCGTAATATTTGCTTTTTCAATATATACTAAGAATTGATATAGCCGTTCATTTAGTTACGATGAATGTAAATTCCAAGGCCAAGAAATATGTAAACTTCTGAGAAAATTGTATGCTAAACAAATTCCTTTTAACCCTAAATAACCATTTATTTTACTGACAAGCGTATTTAAAATATATTGGCTTTTTAATTACAATATAATAACGTTCATGTCTAAAAAAAGACTCCCTGAAAATAAATGAAAAGTTTCTGAATATTCTAAGGAATCGAAATTACGTCCAGATTCAATAACCATGCAAGATATCCACACATGTTTTCTGCCGCTTGACCGTTACTGTGGTTAGAGAAGCGAACTCCGATGTTGATGGTCCAAGACTTAAATAACACAATCAGTAAACAGTGAATCTTTGTAACTGTTTGTGCTTACTTAGGTGTAATGAGATGTAAAATCCGTCAGCATAAAAAGTCTTTAAAAAGTTGATGGCAATGGAACAAGACTTGAAAGCCCCAATCCAAAATAATATGGCATGAACCACAATTTATACTACCCTTCGAAATGTCGAGTTATTTAAATTTATAATTATTAAAATTTGTAATTCTGAGAAGATATTATAAATATCTTATAGAATATACCACACAATTTCTCAAGTAATTTAAGTAATTTTTTATTCTGTGGAATCCTGAAGAATATGAAGGATTTTTTTAAAACGTTTTCTTAAGAGATGTATGACAGCATTTCTGCATTCATATCTGTAATTATTTCACTATTTATTTGTAATATTGCTACGAATTTTGTACATAGATAGATGATTTTAATGCAGTTGTATGTGAAATTGTTGTATTTTTCTCAATAATGTATGGGGAAAAATAATACAAGGGAAAGTCTATTTAAGAATGAGTAAATGGCTGTCTCACTAATTTGGAGAGATATCGCCGAGGTGGCAATGGGTTTTGGCGACTAATTTTTGCCGCTTTGGCGACATTTTGGTACGGTTCCTGTATAACGTTAATGAGTATTGTAATTGAATAACTGTTATTGATGCTCTATGTAGATATAACCGTGATTCAGCCCTCATATGGCTTCCAGTAATTACGAGAAGCAGAAAGTTTTAGAAATATCTCTGAGATTGGGTGAAAACAATATACGACCGGAGAGGAGTATCAGTTCCTCAGTAGTTGTTAGTTGATATTCCAGCGTGAGTGCAGAGAACAGAGATATCTCCGGGTAGCTTTGCTCCTTAGATGTGTGTTGCACTGATTGTATTTAACGTTCTTAGTAGTTTGAAGTGTACCTACTAATTGTAGTCTATGAGACAGTGAAGAATTGCACGACTATTTTTGTGGAAAGTTCCAGAACTATGAAGTGTTGCTATTGAGAAAATAAAATTTATCAACCTATCAGCGGACCTGTGTGCATTCAATCTACTACGAACCCGTATGCACGCAGCAATATATTGAAATTTTTAAAGTATAATTATTTTCTTTATATCAGAGAAGTTAGGGATCTGGGGAATTTTGTGACACAGGGACTTAAAAACGCAGAATTTCGATATTTTGCATAGCTCATTTAGCAAATGGAATTTTCTGGATTCGCATCCACATTTTCCGTACATTTTATATCACAGATGATGCACAGGTTTAACTGATGCTTCGTCGCGAGTTCAGCGGAAGTTTCAAATTCAACTGTGTTCGCTAGATTACACTATATACTTTTAGAGAATGGTTTTGACCTTCACCTCAAAAGTTTTAACAGGTATGTGAGTTTGTTTCAATTTTCAAAGATATATCTGTCTTACAGATGTCTTATAAATTACTAGTGCATTTTGAATTCGTTTCGCTCTGTTTATATATCTTGATCCCAAAATAAAAATAAAAAATAAAAATTAGTAAACTTGTTGCGATTTAAACCCTTAATTAAGGAATTTTCTGCATCTAAAAATGTGATTAATTAGATAAAATGAAGGATACTGACTAGTTGAAAATATTCTATACGTTAAAACCCGTCTTCTTTTAAGGAGAGACACTAAGATTCTGCCGTCAGTATTTCAAAAATGTGTATTCGTGTTTTTTCAAAAAACTATAGATCCTGTTGTAGTGAATTTTCAAAAACGATAGATCCTGCTCTAGTGAACCTCAGCTTTATTGGAAATTCCTATTTTTATACGGTAATCGATTATAGCCTGTGGAAGATCACTTGAATTCAACACAAATTTTGCCAAAAATACGTTTGACTGAACTATTGGAATTTACAAACTGAAATAAATATAAGCGTCAATAGTAGCTTAAAGTGCGTTTGAGACAGCCAACTTAAATATTTGGTAGAATAATCGAAATAAAGACAGTTTTTAACACAAATATTGAACAAATATAATACAAAGAATAACTAACGTCTATTGAAATTCAAACTTACTAAACGAAGGTCAGTTCTTTTATGATAAATCATTGAATCACATGTGGCTTTAGTCCAATATTATCATTCTTTCGTTTTAAAATTGCTCTAATGTTGCATTTTAAATACGGAACTAAACCCAGTGTCAATATAATAGTGGCAGAGGTTTTGTAAAAAGGGGTCATGTAAAGACGCCCTACAAGTATAAAAAAGTTTCATAACTGACAGATAACAAACTGTTCCATTATTTACGTTGCTGGTCCTTCAAGAAAATCTCTTCTTTCAAATTCATAAAAGGTTGCAAACTCTTTTTCAATGTAGAAAATGATTTGTACCTACGACTATTTTTAACAAGAAACGCAAAACTATGTAGATTGGGTAATGTTCCATGACACTATCTTAATCCTTCTACGATTGCAAGATTAAAGCAATTCTTTCTTCCCCAATACGCGATATCCAGTAAGTCGTAAATTTTTAATGCGAGATGGTTCTTTTGAGACAACTGTGGTATGCAATTGAAAAACCAGCTGAGAGTCAGTTTAGTATAGAAATGAAATTACATAGAAATACATAATTTCTATAAAAAATAAAATGTCATATAGAAATCAGCTTTTATGGAAACCATATCAAAGTTTTATGTAAACACTGACACTTTCTTTAATACACATGCTAAGGTTAAAATGTATACACACTTTAATAGAGAAATTTTCATGTCTAGTGCTATTATTTTATAGCGAAGATTATTTGACTTGAGTCAGCTGAGTAACCATATTTCAAGAATTTTTGGAAGTTAATTGGTACTTGTCTAGATTAGTGATGGTGGGCCTTTGACGCGGGTGTAATAAATATCACGCATTTCCAGAGCCATTGAGAAGACAAGACATCGCATAATAAAAAATACGCGTCACTTACCAATGGCGTTATCATTGTCAACATGTGCTGCGCTTACCTTGGGTGCGTTCGAGTGCATTCGTTCTATATGTGACACGACCCCAGAGTTAAACTAGGGTTTTTCCGAATTTTGACAAGCGGAACTTAAAAGATTTGCCAGCAATGGTTTAGGTGTAACACTTATGATAGGTGGCATCATGAAGTATCTAATAATCATTTATGGGTGTATAGACAACATCATCACAAAGATCATGCTACACAGAACGTAATCTCTGTGAATACAGAACAAGTGATTTGGTGTGGCATGTTCCTTTTGAATAATCACTCCGTTTTCTATAACAAAACGGGTGTTTAGTGCAGGTTTATTGCAGGGTGTCACAAATATGGTGCAAAGGGTTTGGACCTGCCTTAAAAAAATTGTGGATATTTCCAGCACTTTCTGTAAGACTACCATTTGTTCATAACTGCAGAGTCAAATAAAATGTAAGAATCTCTGTATCCACAGTAGAATTATAGTCTTAATTACAGTATATCATGATGCGTAGCGCTACAGTATATTTTGGCGCGCTATAAAATGATCGCACTATGTCATCGTGACTATGACAACAATCTTAAGAAGTTACAGCATATGTACAGTTTCTTGGTACAGATACAAAGTAACCAACACAGTTCTTGCGGTTTTTTGCCGCCCTATTTGATGAAGCTCTAACAGAAAAGAAATGATGTTACACGCTCGCCGGAAAAAGTAATGGAGAGTTAGTATAACCTGCACTAGTACAAACGTTGCGCACACACAGCAGGTCCGAAGTGTTAAAGAGTAATATCAAAGCAGCTCACTCTCAGTTGTCTGCTGTGTGACTTTAAGGTGGGCTTATCAGCAGCCGCTTCAAGTCGAATATGTAAAGCCGAGAGGATATCGTGAACGAACTTAGCGCTAAGCGAAGGTCAGATTCCAGAATTCCAGGTGAGAAAATAGTAGCCTTTGTAATGAACACTGCAGTGGGTACCGCAGTTGTTGCATAACGCGACCCTGAAGGCAACCATAAAGGAGGACAACATTTGCGGTGAACTTGTCACATGTTTCTGAATAAACGGTCTGACATCATCTGTACCGCAGAGGGAAAGTGTACAAGTTAAGCAAGTGACAATTCAACACATTGTCAGCAGCCCACAAAGAACAACGTTTGACAGCCTGTGTTCGTTGCTGTCTCAGCATCGCAATACACTCATATTTGGGTGAGAGCTCATGAGTGACAAAACGGGGGTCGAGAAAAATACTGCTAATACAGAAAGATATGTGCCAGACATTGGTTATTACCACAAGACCGTTTGCTTCACTCCTCAAGACCACTTTCACATTCCCAGAAAATCATGTTCTGTATCTAGTGAACTTCGCAAATGATACATTACGAGCTATTACTGCTAGGCCACACCATCATTGAGGACCTATATTTGCAGTAGTTGCAACGAGAGTAACATGCATTGCAGCAGGAGCCAACGTTAGTTAATCTTAAGGCTGCGCGCTGTACCTCCATGGAAA